AAGATATAGCTCATGGCTCATGAATGGAAATCAAATACAAAAATTGCATTTTATTAACATTTTCTTTCCCAACTCAGTATTGGTCAATGTGGCTAATATCTTCAGTGTAATCCCATCAAAATGCATTTGTTGACCCTGGCAAAGCATACCACTTAACTGAATTTCTCTTCCCTAAGAGCTTTTTAAACATTGTTTTGTCATGATTAAAGGCCTGAATAAGGGCATAAAAATAAATTATTTATTTGATAAAATCTTAACAACTGGCCAGTTTGCCTGTGGCTTTCTTGACCACGATCCTTGTTCCCTGGATTCTTGTGATACCTTTTAAATAAATTCCTCTAGCTCAAATGAGCATCAATTTCCTGTTCTTATCTCTCATCTCTTTAAGTCGTGCTCATAGCCATGGTTCTCAAACATCATTGCTTTTCAAGATGACCTAAGGAGCAGCAGAAACCGGGGATGCCCCCTGGCCAAACTCCAGACCTGTGGAATCAGAAGCCACAGTTTGAGACCTGCTCACTGCTCCAAAGAGCACTTCTTATGTATATATATATATATATATATATAAAATACTTGAGATTGCTTGGATTGAAGACAAACTATTGAGGCTTTGTCTACTTTCATTTATTTACGAATACAAACTGTTAAGTATTAATAATGTCCAAAATTTACACTGATATTATTTTTAAGATTCTAAGAAGTACTACTTTTAAGAATACATGTTTATATTTGATATGGTGAGTGTTAACCAATTAATTTTATTATACAAACCATTGCTTTATCTAGTATATTAGTAAAAAATGTATGCAGTAATTTGGATGTAGATGACGAAACCCCACTTCCTATGCCTGTTCCTAATAGCAGGTGCTTATCAGGAAAGCTTGATGGATATTTAGTGAAGTGTGCACAGTGCCATCTAGTGGTATGTAGTCATCACTGCACAACCTAAATGTCTTCATTTTCTAAAATGATTTGATGGCTCAAGAGTAAACAACGTGTTTATACAACTGTCAGACTTTTAAAACAGACTTCCTAATAGCTTCCTTATGACTCTCAACTTAGCACATTTCTTAGTGCTCCTATCTCATTAAGCAAAAGGCTTGTGATCCCCTTTCAATAATAATTAATGGATATTTAAGTGCTTCTTAGGCACTAAGCACTATGTGAAGTGCTTTATATGGATTATCTCATTTGATCCCCACAATAACCCTGCAGTGGAGCAACTGTTTTTTGTTGTTTTTGTGGAGCAACTATTATTGTCTCCATTTTACAGATGTGGAAACTGAAACTTAAGGACGTTAAGTGACTTGCTCAAGGTCAGTAGGAGAAGTTGGTCGAACCTACTGTCCAAGAACCTGCACAATTCTGCACTGTGATCTGCACCTCCCAAAGTAGTTACCAATGAAATAAAATTTCCAAGAAGTCTCTATGAAAGAGGGCCTTCCCCACCAGGTATCTAATGATCAAATATGGCAAAATCGATTCAAACTCCACTAACTCAGAATTTATGACAGACTGAATAGTATCTGCTTCTGTGGCTGGGATGTAGTTTAAGCTTCTTTTATATTGCTTATATAGTATATGCTCAAAATTATATGTTAATTAGGTTATTGAATTTGAGGGGACTGTGCTAAAACTTAGGTTTGGAGTCACAGATCTTGGAAATTAGTAAGAGGACAGTACGGCTGTAGATCAGAAGGTGTTTAATTATTTTAACACTAATAGCTATTGTTTGTTGAACACCTATGTGCCAAACTCTGTGGTCAGCACTTGTCTATCCTTTTTCTCTTTTCTCCTCACTACAACTCTCTCTGGATGTTATTCGTCTCCTCATTTCTAAAAAGGAAATAATAAAATGTAGAGAGGAGAAATAAATTGCCCACAGTTTTACAGTTATTAGGAGAGCCAGGAGTGAAACCTCAATCTTTGTGATTCCAAACTCTGCCTTTTGCCACTTTTGGAAGAGAAGTGTGTATAATGTGCATGATTACGGTTTTTCTGTGTACTGTCACCCCTCTGCAAAAATATCATTTTCTCGGGGCACCTGGGTGGCTCAGTCGTTTGACTCTTGGGTTTCGCTCAGGTCATGATCTCAGGGTCATGAGATCCAGCCCTGTGTTGGGCTCCACGCTCAGTGGGGAGTCTGCTAGAGATTCTCTCTGTCCCTCTCCCTCTGCCTCTCCTCCCCCCTTCTCTAAAATAAATAAATGAATCTTTAAAAAAAAAAAATACCACCATCTCTGCTGGGACCACAGCAGCAGGCTCCAGCCACTTCCGCCGTGCACGCTTGTCCATATCCATGACTCTCTTCCCTTACAGTCTGTAATGACATTTTTAAGCTGCATTTCTGAGCATGTCACTCTATTTAAAACCCGTGTCTTCATACTTTCAGCATAAAGACCAAAAGACTTGCCAGAGCTATAGTGCTTCGCCAGCCTTTTCTTGTTCCTCTGGCCTCTTCACAAACCATCTCATAATCCCATTTTGTATCTAGCACCCTGTCTGTCAAGGTAGGTCATCATTTCTGATTATCTGTGTGATTGGGAATCATGTCTCTATCCCCACCTGACTGTTAGTTCTCTGAGGCAGGAACAACATCTTTGCATTCTGTACCCAGACATATCCCCAAAGGACTAGATCCAGAGAATCTATAGATCAAGCATAAAGGAAATAAATACAGGAATCCCAGTTCCCACAGAAATTAACTTAATTCCTCAAGAAATTAAATAAATAAACAAACTTATAGATGCCATCTCCTTGGGAGTACCTTGGTTGCCAAATTGAAAAACTGAATGAATATCATTAAGAAACAAATAAATTCCTTGTTGTGTGATATCCAGAGAAGGTAACAAATTTGCAATCACATAAATCTGAATTTATCCAAATCTAATAAACATTTAAGTATTTCAATTAGAAAGTAATTTGTATTCTTCTGTCCCAAATCAGAGATATGCTAGAAAGTTGTGGGTTTGTTTTTTTTTTTTACATGATTCACATTATTCGTTTGTTCAAGTGTAATGTACTGTCTCGGTGTATCAGGCATTCCCACTTTTGACTTCACGACTTTTTCCCATTTAAGGAACACCATCCCTGCTTTGTAGATGAGGAAAGTAAAGCTCCAAGTCTTCGAGGCTAAGAGGGCATGCACTTGGAGGAGGAGGGCCATATTTGGATGTAGGTCTTCGGACTTCAAGTCCAGTGTCCTTTTGGGCTCCCAAGTCCAGAAGTTCAATAGATGTTAGTTTTGTTTTTTAAATATAGTGTTAGAAATGAACAAAGAGGTAGGAAACTAAAACTTGAGAGTTGGTAGCAAAGCATATATGGAGCATATATTTCTCAGGAACTGAAATGTGAGTATGTCTTTCACTGAGAAAGACAACAATTTGTTTTCAAATGCAAAGGTGTCATGAAAAGTGAACCTTAAATTTGGTGAAGTTGTAGAGAAACTGGAATTTTCATACACTATTGATGTGGATGGCAAATAGTACAGCTATGTTGGAAAACACTTGGGAAGTTCCTCAAAAATTAAACGTACACCAACCATACAACCTAGCCACTTCATTTCCAAGTATTTACCAACAGAAATGGAAGCATACGTCTATACAGATATTTGTACAAGATTGTTCATAGCAACTTCACTTGTGCTCACCTAAAACTGAAACAGCCCAAGTATCATCAACAGGTGAGTTGATAACTAAATTGTGATATATCCACACAATGTATATTGTTCAACAATGTAAAGGAATAAACTATGGATGCATACTACAACATGGATGAGTCTCAAGATAATTATACCAAGTAAAAGAATCCAGACCAAAAAAAAAAGAGTACATACTGTATAATTCCAGCTATATAAAATTCTAGAAAAGCATCTTGGAAAGTATATCTGTGTTTGCCTGGAATGAGGAGTGGTGGGGTAGATTAAAAGGAGCAGGAGAAAACTTTTGGGCTGATGAAGACGTTCACTGTCTTGATTGTGGTGATGGTTTCTGGGATATTATAACAAAACCTCAACACAAACAGGGAAGAAAGAGAAATGAAGTTCTTGACTATCCTAGTGGAAGTAACCATGACTTAAGTTTTATGAGCTACTCAACAATATAAGCCAAAACACTGTTTGTTCTTGACCAGGTTAAGTGATCTGTGACTAAGTTCTGCTGCTGCCTTCTAGAGATTACTTTTCCTTTTTCCCCTGCCTCTCTTCCTGCCTTCCTTAACTTTCCCTTCTTTATTTCAAACCTTGTACTACGAAAAGTATATAAATGAATGAAAATATTTTAAATAAATACAGGTTTGATATCTTTTCAAACACTAGAATTTGAGTGTTGGTTTTCTCTCTCTTAAGGGGTCAGTATGCGCAATGGAAAAATGCTTTCAAGCCAGATAGACTTGTTAATTTTAATCACAAGTGCTATATACTTCAAAGTTGCTAAGAAACTAGATCTTAAATGTTCTCACCACAGAAAAAGAAATGATAATTATGGGACATGACGTGTTAGCTAATGCTATGGCAGTAATCACATTGCAATATAGAAATGTATCAAATCAACATGTTGTACACCTTACACTTATGCTTACATGATGTTATATGGCAATTATAGCTCAATATTTTTTAAAAGTCAGGGAGACATGAATTTGAATGCCAGTTTTGCCATTGACTGGCCTTGGACCTTGGCATTTGTCAGTTAACTTCCCTGGTCCTCAGTTTCTCAAATGTAACATAAAGATAGTAGCTGTATTTCAAGGGTCATTTTGAAGATTGGAAATAACTATCTACTGGGGTTTCAGGAAATAATTTTTTTGCTATTATACATTGCACATCAAGTCTTTGAGATCAGGCACTATGTACATTTACTTATGTCAACCCCTACAGGAGTTGAACACATATTGAAGGCTGTGAGGGGCCTTGACAAAACAAGACAGATGGTACATGTAAAATAATGAACTTACCTGTCCCTGCATTTGGGCTGATGTGTTCCCTCTGCTTTAATTGTGTGTAGTGCACCTGGTGGACATTTGGAACGTCATAGAAGCATTGCGGGAAAATGCTCTGAACAACCTGGACCCGAACATAGAACTCAGTGTGGCCCGCTTGGAGGCTGTGCTATCCACCATTTTCTACCAGCTCAACAAACGGATGCCAACCACTCACCAAATCCAAGTGGAGCAGTCCATCAGCCTCCTGCTTAACTTCCTGCTGGCAGCCTTTGATCCGTAAGCTCCCTCTGAACATCTGTTCCTCTCCACATGTTCGGTCTCTCCTTCCTCTTGTCCTTCTTGGTCTTTCTTCCAAATAATTTTCTGCAAGTAACCAACCACCTCTTTTTTTCTTGATCAGATACTTATCTCAATAAAGTCGCTCTGTGTTTAACGTCAATTTAAAATGCTATGGGAAAAAAAAAAAAAACTAGGGAGTAAAATAGTGCCATAGGAAGTTGAGGACAATCGTACTTTCTATGCTGACCTTTATTTAACTCATCCCATGCTTCCTAGAAGCTGTGGTTGTCTGAATGTGTTGCATGATGGCATGCCTATGGAGCAGTCTAATGAAGCATAAGATGGGAGGATGTTTTTAACTCTCTTCTTTATAGATTGTCTAAGACAGTGTTTCTGAGGTGTCATAACAAGACCCTAGAGCAGACAGAGAGAAACTGACAAGGGTTTCTTGACCAGCCTAGTGAAAGTAGCCATGACTTGCATTAAACGGATCAGTCAATAATGTGCCACATAAAACAATGTGATGCCGTCCACACACGACAATTGAACCTCAGCCTCATTATCTTATAATTTCCTCTCATAAAATCAGAGAATGTCAGAGCTGGCTGAAATATTAAAGACTGTTCTTCCAAATCTCTCATTTTACAGATGAAGCACCTGAAGCATAAAGAGACTGTCACTTGTCCAGTGTCTCTCGATGGGTTAGTGGCAGAGTAGGGATTTAGGTATTCAGCTAAGATTTCTTCTCCAAGGCATATGTGGCAGTCTTGTGAAGTGTAAAAACTTCCCCGAATTACTTTATCAGCCTAAGATTTCAAAAGGTCTCTTGCTGTTAGCCCATAGTCTAGATAGAGTAATACCATCTCCACTTTCACTACTGGTTTTGAATATTGGAAAGGAAAATTGCTAACTTGACCTTTCAGCAATCGCATTTCAAGACTCTCAAAAGATTTTGCTTAGTCTCATTGTCTGGCCAATGCTTGGGAATATTTAAGCCCAGCCCTGGAGATGTTCCAGCCAGGCTAATGTTATAATGCCACTCTCAATAGTCACCAGCTGTCATTTTACAACCTAGAGTGCTAACAGAATTATTCGTGCTCGGTTTGACCAGTGTAGATTACTGTCTCGGGATGTTTATATTTTGAGTAATTCTCGAGCTGAAATAAACAGTTCTGAAACAAGCAGTCTGGCTTGATAGATCCCATGCTTAGCTTGTACACACTTCAGAACTGATGTACTGCTTTGGCCTAATCACTATGGTAACCGAGCGGCAGGCAGGTGGAGGAGACTATGGCTCCACATGACAGGTGACAGAATGGAACCAGCCTATGGAACTGCTCTAATGGCATTTCCATCCTGCCCCCTTGACAAGAGCATGGAAGCTTGCAGACTTGCCCCTAGTGTCTTCAGGGCACTTATTTGTTATAAGTGGAACAATGGAAAATATAAAAAGAGAAATATAATTCTTGCCAAATCTTAGAGTATTCCAAAGGATTCATAAGGGCTCAAACGTAAAAAATAATTTGTATCCACTCCATAAATATAGAAACGGGGCCAGATTAACAATAAGGAAGGGGGATTTTGTGAAATATATGAGAGAGACAATATATTCATATCTTATATTTTATATGATATAATATACCATACCTCATTATTTCTCATATTATGAGAAATATACAATAGAGTTAGGTTTTTCACTTCTGTTTGGAAATATCGGGAAGATCACTTTGAAAAAATGGGCTGTATATGTTCCCTAAACAGCTACTGATAATTATTTCAAGATTGATGAATGCTAAACTTAAGGACTATCCCAAGATAAGGAGCCATTGACATGAATGTTCAAATGGAATATTTGTTTGGTTCTTACTCTTCTTATGGATAAAAAGGGCCTTGATGTGTACTTCCAATAATCTCGTTGTAGTAGATTTTTTTAAATATCCACATAGAGAAATCTCATTTTACAGATCTACAGACACATCCATAGAGAGACCCCAGTCTACAGATACTTCTGTCTTCTCTCTCTTGGCATAGCAAATGAGTATAGGCAGTTCTGCTGATATTCACATTTCCATCTGATGGTTTTTGAAATTCTAGACGATGTGAGATGTAAGCCATAAGGAAGCATCACTAACTGGGGAGAGAATATAACCAGAAATACTCACTTAGAAGTGAATGTAAGAAGAGAAACTTAAGAATAAAATGAATGTTCAATTCAATTTCTTATAATAGTAAACTCCTATTTCTCCAAATAAGATGCAGTATGGAAATCTGATGTCGCTTCCTACCACCTATCCCACGACAGAACCCAAGTGTTTAAGGGAGCCTTCTGCATGTTGGTAGACGTGAATGAGCCCTAGTACATCAAAGATATGTTGTTGCTGTTATAGAATCACTGAAACATTTGGGGGATTTCTCTCATTTGCTGTAATTTAAATGAACATATAAAAACCAGGGGGAGAAAAATCGAAAATAAAATTAAAACCTGCATTCTAAAGAGGTCATCTATATATATTTTTGAAAAGGAAAGACAGTATAGTGATTTAAATTCATGAAGAACGAGAATAAGAACTGCATTCAGAGAAACTTGGTCATTGTTTCAGTAGTGCCTTAAAATTCACCAGACCCAGCAAGGTGGAGTCTGCCATGACAATGGTAACGTGAAACGAGGTTCAAAGCCCACTGCACTTGGCTGTGGCCCTGAGAGCCAAACTTGCCTTCTCACAACATAGTTCCCCCAAAATAGCAGTCCTTCCTTCTCTCCCCAAAGAAACACCCGGGTCTCAGTTCTCACACGGGCATGCTTACTGCAGACCATGGTCAGTCTGCTGGTTGCAAGGTGTCTCCACCAAGTCAGCCTCTTAGGAGGTAGAGAGTGTGTAGCTACATATGCAGGATGATTTCTAGAATGTTAGGGGCTAGCATTTGTGCCCAGTGGCTCTACTGATGCTTGCCATTCTGTCTCTGAATAGTCAGGCTCTTGAGTCTAGATTTTTGTTCTTCCTGAATTCCCTTCTAAAAATGGCTGTATCTAGAAGGAGTCAACCAGTCATCAATTACCAACCGACTGCTAAGCAGATCTTTCCACCCCAGACACTGTCTTCTCCAGGGTCCCTAGGAAAATGGATGGGTGCACCTGGGAAGAGTGGGAAAGGAGACGTCAGAATCAGGGAGCAGGGACTGAGAGGGAAGAAGGATATTAGGAAACAGCCTGAGCCAGTCTGTGCATCTCGTCTCTTTCTTCGGCACACCCCAGGAATGAGCCTGCTGCCTTCCCTTATTTGCTGACAGCCTGGCAGCAGCTTTTCTTCTCACCGTTACTATTATTTTTAAGGAAATTGAGAGTAATGAAAGAAAAACAACATGACAGCAAGTTACAAGAGGACAATATTTTTTTTCAACAGCTTATGGAGGGGTAACTGTGGTCTTGAAAATAATTCTTAAAAGTCTCTAATGGCCTTTTGGAGAGGAGGGCGTCACACACTGATCCACTGGGAAGCCCTTCCCCTCTCATGGCTGAGCTGACTCCCCCTGCCCCAGACCTCACTCTTCCTTACACATGATTCTGCTCTTCCCTTATGGTGCATATCTGCCTGTGTGTATGACTGCCTCCCGCAAGCTACCGCTCAGCAAGGCCATGTCTCACTCTCTGTATGCACAGCACCTGAGACAATATCCAGCTTAGAATGAATCTGTGAATGAATGAATGAATGATCAATGATTGACTTTTCTTAGCTCATCACACTGATTTCTTTTCATTCTTTTTCTGAAATCAAGTCCTCTTTAATCTCTAGTATCTTACCCAGACTAGTGAGTCCAAGGTTGCTCTGACATCTAGGTTCATAACCTCTATGTTTACTTCTGCTCCACAAGAGAAGAAAATCAGATGTCTGTGGCTACTAATGTGGGGGTATCCTATTTTCACAAAAAACTTCAATGTAGTTCTCTCACTCTCTTCTTACTTCCCTGGGAAACACGAACTTCAGGCTGTTGACTTAATCTCATTTCAATTCACTAGAACCTTCCTTCTTAGGGAAGTTTCTCCTCAGGTAGATTATGTGACAGTGGCCTTGTTTTTAGCAAATGTTATTTTCGCATATATTCAGTCATACGAATATCACAGTCGGGACAATGATAAATATTAAAAGGAACAGTGATGTTCCTATTTTCAGATGTCAAGCTGTATTGTTAACGCCACTTCTCCAATGTTAGTAGTAATATACTAATTGTAATAACAGCTAGTATGTTGTCAGCATTTCCTGTGTGCCAAAAACCCTCCCGGTTTGACAAAATGTGATTACAGGGAGGTAAAACAACGCGCAGGTCATACAGCTTCATCCTAGATGAGGTGAGTGGGAGAAAAAAAAAATCCTTTGTTTCAGGCATCAGGGTAAGTTCAGCTCTATTCGTGCTTTCTGTTTCTTTTTTTTTTTTTTTGAATGAGAATTAGTGTACATTTTTCCCCCCAGACCTACCCTGCTTTTTCAGGATATTTTTATTAGGCTCACATTCCTCACCTTCCCGGTTTGCGCTATTTAGACATATCTAACAGAGTGTATGCAAAGGAAATATTTGGACTTAACTCATATTACATTGTAGATTTACAGTCAGTTTTACAACAGCCATACAGAACTCCAAATCTATCATATAATAGTCTTTCGCAGAGAATACAAAATCCTGATATTTTCCTCTCTGCTTGACATATTGCACCTCGCTGAGCCATTTGAACATCCAGTCCTGCTGCTGAGCCCCTCTGCCCAAACCCCCTGGTGCTGTGAAATGTACCACAGCGCTATTTCAGGCACGTGGACATAAAATATTCTGGAACTCTGCCAAAACCCTTCTGCCTTTTGAGTTTTAAAAATGATTTTGATGGGGAAGCCTGGGTGGCTCAGTCGTTAAGCGTCTGCCTTCGGCTCAGGTCATGATCCCAGGATCGAGCCCCGCATCTGGCTCCCTGCTCAGCAGGAAGCCTGCTTCTCCCTCTCACACTCCCCCTG